TTTTTTTTTTTTAACTTGGCTACTAGAGATTGGATTTCACACAAGTCACTTCCCCTCCCTGGGTCACAGTTTCCCCACCTAGTAAGTGTATTAAAGTAGATTCTGTCTATCAGAGTCCTTCCCTGAGGTGTTCTCTCAGTCTGGGACTCTAAAGGCTGGCATCCATCCTATATTATGAATGCACCTGTCCTAGTTTCTGGAGGAAGTCCAGTGCTATTGTTAAGCTAGGAAACTGTTTTCTGAGTGATTCCTGCCAAAACACAAGCTCAGCCTATTATTCAGATCTGGCTGGGCAACTACATGCTTATTGAACAATGAAGCAGCTAGATACAATTCTGCCAAGAAAACATGTATTGTCTGGGTGACACAGAGTCATACGGGAACATCAGGACTTTGACCGGCATCTTTTGACCTTTGCCAAAACTTTTGTTTTATCAGCCAGTTTCAGGGGTGACACCCTCCCCCTACGCTTTCCACAAACACACACACACACACACACACACACACAAAACACACCCCAAGAAAATCCTTATAGCTCAGTTAGGAATGTATGGCTGGTCGTATCCATAATCCATATTAATGGGCACCTCTTCTTGCTCTAGACCAGCGGTTGGCAAACTATACCTTGATGTCCAAATCCAGCCCACTGCCTATTTTTTGTAAATAAAACGCTATTGCCACTCATCCACACTTATTCATTTAGGTTTTGTCTGTGGCTGCCTTTGTGCTTCTCGACCCAAGAGTGAACAGTTGTGACAAACCATGTGGCCCACAAAGCCTAAAATATTTACTATCTGACCCTTTATAGAAAAAGTTTGCCAATCCCTCTTATAACCCCAGAAAGAAGGAAGTGACGTTTGTGTTTTCCCATCAATGACATTTTGTCTGGTTTATGCAAACTTAATAAATGATGAAACAGAGAACTCAGAAGCTAGCTTACACTGCAGTGTGGCCTAATGACTCACAGCGAGGGTTTTGAAGTAGGACGTGCGGGGTTCAGAGATGCTCAGCCCCTCTGCTCACAGTTGTGTAATCCTAGACAAGTTGCTGAACCTCTCAGAGCCTCCATTTTGCACCCTATAAAATATAACTACTGGCATACCAGAGCCTGGAGATTGTCATGATGGTTACCCTAGTTTCTCCTGTGACAAGGTGGAAATCACCCCAGAACCAAGAGCTGATATCATCATATTCCATTATCAACACTGAAGGCTGCTGCAAAGGTACCTTTGATGAAGGACAGGTTGCTGATTGAAGGTGGCTGTCATGACTCCCAGAAACTTGGCCACAGAGTTTAGTTCAAATGTGGCATGAAAATCAAGCTAAAGTCCTGCAGGGGCTCCTTGAGGACAACTTTCCCTGGGGCAGAGAGATGTAGACCTATTGGAGATGTACCAAGCTTCTTCCATTCCTAGTCAAGGTAGTCCCAGCATCTACAGAAAGCAGGTCACCTTCCTCCTCAATTAATTCTTTATTGTGCTTATTGCAGTCTCTTTTAATTCTTTTATGAGCTTTTGCAGGACAGGAAACGTATCTGATTCACCTCGCAAAGTATCTGGCCCATTGTAGCTGCTCAGTGTGTGTTTCTGAGTGGACCACAGAGTCAGTCTGTTAACATCAATGCCCTCCTCATTGCAAAAAACAAAACCAAACATTGGTCATCCTGAAGCCAAGAGAGCATATGTATAATAGAGAGACCACCAACAAGGGATCTTCAGGTGATGTTGATGGAAGTCCCTGAGGCGACATGTCCCCAGAACAGGACCTGGCACCGCAAGGTACCCCTCAGCCTTCAGTGTCTGCACATAGGGTGGAGACGCTGAGCTGAGCATCCGCCTTCCACCACCTCAGGAGCAGCAAATGTGAAGGGCAGGAGCGCTCATCTCCTGAAGACACGTGAAAGCTGAAGATGCTGGATGCCCCCCTAGCAGGGACACCCAGGGGAACCTGCAGAAACTATCCCCAGAAAATAGTCCGTGATGTGTCCAGGCATCCAGAGAGCTGCTTTCTCTCATAGTCTCCCACAGGTCTGACAGCCAGAAAGTGGGAGCAAGAGAGGTGTAGACAGAGAAGTTACATGCCACGCTGTCATTTCAGGCTTTCCTGGAAAAGAGCGCTGGCTAACAGCTGCCTAAGAAAAAGCCATCTGAGGTTCTTTCCAAGTCCCCCAGCCTCCTAACTTGAGCTTTTAACAAAATCTGGTATGGTAGAGTACTGGCATGCCAGTCCAGCTCTCCTTCTGCAGCTGTGTGAGTCACTGAATGTCTCTGGGCCTTAGTTTCCTCACCTATAAATGGGGACTAGAAGTCAGGATTCAGTAAAATAATGTATATAAATCACACTACCAACACACAGCAGATGCTCAACCAAAATTAGTTCTTTCCCTCTCTTCTTAAGTCTTGAGAATCATAACAGAGAGAATCGCTAAGTATGAATTAACTAAAAGCTTATGAACTAAAATATGTGCCCACGGTGGTTCACCTCCATTGCTGATTCATCTTTTTTAAGGTGTCCTGGTCAGTGAAATCCTCAATCACATGAAGAGCGCAACTCATCCATGGAACCAGAGAAAACTTGTCATGTATTCTGCAGTAAGTATTTTTGTCTCCACTCTACATTCATTTGTCCAAACATGTGATCTCTTTGAGGAGGGGGTCTCATCTTCTTCATCATCATTTCCCTATCACCCAGTAAATTGGCAGACACCTGTTCAAAGCTTTTAAAATTCAATACATAATTCTGGCCCTTGAGGAATTTACAATCTTGTACTGACATGAAGACTAGTAAACACATAAACACT